CTTTCATTGAAAGATTTTTTCCGGTATTTTATAATGATTTCTAGTTTTGGCTTATTGATTAAACAGACATAATTTTTAAAAGTCCTTTGATTAAACAAATCAAAAAATCAATAAATGAAAAGATAGGCAAACAAAAAAATTAAAATATAAATAAATGTATAAAATCAAAAGCATTAAATAAAACTCTTAAATGTCTTTTTTTTTAAAAAATGTTCTTCATCAAATCTGTGATCCACTCCCAGAATTTTACTCTGAGGCATTAGATAGGGATTGGCACACTGGTCAGTTTCAGTGTTATAACCTATTATGCAATTCTCCTGCTGGGCAGCGCGTTACAGAGTATAGTGGTTTGCTGCTTATCTAGGCCAAATTTTGAATTCTGGTAAACAAGATGTGCGCGCTTACTCCGTACCGATTTGAATGAGAAGACTTCGCACAATATAAACCACAATAATAACCTCGGGATTTATTAACTTTGAATGGTAAGAATTATTCCTTTATCATAGGCTTTGAAAGATCATTTAAAAACGACTTTTATACTATATGTACCAGTGCATGATCAATAACTTTGTACAAATGTATGTAGCAATGACAAAGCGTTAAGGTTATATACATATTTGATTTGAATATTTCATTCTTAAGGCAACACAATTATATCCTTGATTCAAGTATTCGTTTTCTTTGTGAAATGTTAATCATCAAACAATATGTTTATTTAAAAATGAAATTTCTTTACAGCATGGTGTTGGTTGCATCATCCGTATTTTCAAAGTCCCACATTCAAAAGACCCGCCTTTTGTGAAGGCAAAGGTGTACGTAAATACTATTACTCTTCAATAATATTGTCATAGTAATTATTTTTCTGCTTTTTTCAATGCAAATGAGGAAAGAACTTAAATTTGATATATTTATTTAAAATATTTTTTGTCTATTTTCATTGATCATCTTAGATACATTAGATGTAGAACGCTGATACAAACACAATCTTCCTTATCTTTACAGATTGTGCTATTCTTTCCGAGGGTCAGATTCCTTATCAGCCTTTTCAGTGTACGTGATTCTAACGGCCGCCATTCTAACCAAGTCTTATAGATCCTCCACTCTGTTCGACCTATACAGTGAACATTGGATTTCTGTGATTCTGTTCTTTTAAAATTCAGTGAATGGATTAGACGCCGTTTTCAACCTTTAAAAACCCGGTGACTTGAAAGAAAATAAATTAAAACTTGTACCGAAAATGGAATTTAAATGTGATTAACATATTGAATATGGGTTTGTATTAAATGTTCAAAAATTAAATATAATTTGTGTTTATTTCTTTTAAAAATATAAATACTTCATTATTTAATAAGAAAAAGTAAAAATTCAGGAAAAATACTTTTGTAACCTCGACTTTAATGTTTTGAAAACGTTTTAAAAACCAAACAATTTAAACGTGAATAAGACATTTTTGAAAAACAATGTTATGATAACATTTGTTAAAATATTTTGTAAAATGTTTTAAAAACATTTTAAAAACCATACAAAATCACGCGATTAAAACATTGTTGAAAAATGTTTTTGTAATATTTAAAGAAAATGTTCCGGAAACATTTGCTGAAATATTTCACTAAAATGTTTCAAAAACGTTTAAAAAACCATACAAATTCACGTGATTAAAACATTATTGAAAATGTTTTTGCAACATTTTAAGAAAATGTTCTGACAACAATTTGTTGAAATATTTCATTAAAATGTTTTAAAAACGTTTAAAAAACCATACAAAATCACGTGATTAAAACATTTTAAAAAATGTTTTTGCAACATTTTGAAAATGTTTTAGAAACATTTTAAAAATGTTTTTGTGTTAGCTGGGCAGGCGGCAATTTTAGTGACAGAGAGTCTGTATCGGACAAGGATAATCTGTGACGAAACAGTTTTACTGTAACATCTTGAAAAAAAATATAAAAAAAATTAAAAAGTTGGAACATTTTGGAAAGACATATAAGCTTCAGAAGTGCTGACCTTAAAATAAAATAAAAACATTGACTATGGATATTATACAGCGAGAACAATAATGTTTTAATGAGTTGGTATTGGACTATACAGTGTGAAATGTATAAGGATAGTATTATTTAGAAATTTCGACGCACTGTTTTGACGTTACATTTCTGTTAACTGTGCTCCGTTAGTACATAACATGTTGATTTTAAAATGAAGTTAATTGGTTTATGTGAAATCGACTTGAATGAATTACTTCACACATTCACAAAAATGTATATTTTTACACTTAATATCATGCTTATTTTAAATTTCTTGAAAGAAGCAGAATGAATATTGAAATAGTCCACGAACTTTCTGAACAACCCTCGTAGGTAAACTGAGCTGAAAGCTCAAATGAGTTTTTTTTCTGATTTCCTTTTATAAGGGTCCGTCCGTCTGTTCAGCTGTTCGTCCGTCTCTGAACATTTCACATTTTCGACTTGTTTTCAAAAAAGGCTGAACGAGTTCTGACCAATGCTGATGAAAAGTATCCCTTGGTAAAGGGAATTCTCATTTGTTCAAATAAAGTGCCATGTAAGGGGGTGGGGGTGGGGGGACTATGAAGATAACGCAAAAATAGGGTGAGGTCAGCAAAAAGAAACTTTTCCTCAAGAATCACTGGATCAATAAAGGTGAATCTTATGTAAAGACTTTCAAAGGTTGTATAGATTTTAAATTGTTCAAATTATGGCAAAGTGTAAGCCTAGGGTTGGACTGGAATAAGAAATCTCAGTTTAATATTGAAATACATTGTATTTGGGAAAAATCTTTCAAATCTTCTTCTAAAAAACCACTGGACAGATTTTTAATGTATCATAGATTCTAAATGGTTCATAAGAGGGGGAAAGGGGACAGAATAGGGAATCAAAGTATACGTATAACATTGAAAAAAAAATAGGAAAAGACGTTTAAAATCTGTGAAATATGGATAAAAATCTTTTAAAATCTATTTCAGAATTTCTGGACAAGAAAAGCAAACACTTATTCAAAACATTCTTGATGTAGTGTTGTTTCTATATATTTTTCCAATCATGCCCCCCTGGGTAAAGGATGGGGCAACAATAACAAAGTTTGGCTTGAAAATTTTTTGAATGTTGTTTAAAATGAGATTCCAAGAACCGCTAGCCTGGAAAAGTGGAACCTTATATTAAAGATTCCAGAGGATAATGTTGATTATGAATCATTTAATCATAGTTTTTTAGGGTTGGCTGGATCGGATCCATATAATGTTGTAACATAGATCAATTTTCGTTCAAATCAAACCCCCTGTGTATATAATGGAGTCATAAAAGGCAAAAAATAAAGAGTAATATTTTTTCTGGCGGGAAATCAAAGCCAAAGTTGTCTCAGATGAGCGTTGTGGCTCCTGGTTTTTTTATGCTTTATGACATTAATTATCAATTTATAAGATATATATAAGGATAAACTTTGCAAAGCGTTTTAAGTTATGTTCTTCGGTCATTATATATCGAAAATACATTATTTATATCCTTATTCATAAATCAAAACTGCCTCGTCGTCAACTGCCATGCTTGATTACATACACTGTACCACAGCTCTTCTCTGTAACATGGACTTCAATTTCATTTGAGCCATCCAATACCATCCAATGCGGAAAGGGCCCTTATGTAATTTGACGTCATAATGTGAAAATCACGACGGTAAAGCTAATGTCATATCATGCAAGTTGCAAAACATTTCTTAACAATCCAACATACTCTGCACATATTATCTGTATCCGTATTATTTCAGTCCATTACAATCAATATTTTCACCCTTATTTTTTTTTCTTTGTGATAACTCTTTGAAAGTTAGCGGAGTTGATTTCTTGATAATTTTATCGGAATGTAAATTCGGCAGGTCAATAGGTCAGGAGCGAAGGCGGCCTAATATGCTAGCAAATCTAGTGCGAATCTGTCTCTGTGTTTGACGCTAAGGAGGCCAAATATGCATGTAGATCTCGTGCGGCTGTCTTTGTGTTTGATGTCAAAGGATGAGGACTATTAGAATTTGTATGAGAGTCCTAGTGTAATTTAAATCTATGTCTACAAAGTTAAAGCCTAAATCTACATTTTTTTTTACAAAGAAATGGAAATATACTATAAGGAATCACTGTCTAATTAGTATAGTATGTCAGGGACATAAAAGATAGTGGGAAACATGGGATAATTTATGCAAAGCGGACATCGACAGTTATGCAAAATTATCACATGTTTGTTACTATTGTTGATGCCCTGGCATACTATACTAACTAGGCTTTGATTCCTTAATTCCTTAATTAAAAGTATATATGTTAACTGTAGGTACGTGTTAAAAGTGTCGCCAGGCAATGTCCAATTCTTTTAAGGTACATTCATTTAACTTTTCAAAAAAATAAAAATGAATTTTAATACCGGTAAAGATGAACCTCGTTACCGTGAATTTGATGAAAGTTGTTGGAAAACGAAATGAATGACTTGAGGGTCTCGCCACATTCCAATCACTCCATTCCTTTATCGTTAACGAAACGCAACCAGCAAGAGGGCCTGAACGGTGTTTGATGTAAAAAGTTGCGTACAATTTTGAGTGATTTTATATTTTCATTCATATTGAATTTATTTATTCCTTGATTGTTGGTTATTCCATTCTTTACTATTTATAGTTAAACTGCAAGTCTGCTCTTTTCAGTTTTAAGTATTTACCTCTTTGTTTGCATACCATATTCTACCGTCAAATGAGACAGATTCTGTTCATTTGTTAGAATTAATATTTTTCACGCTCTGAATAACATTTATAAAAGTGATCACTTTTCAAATGAACAGTGGATTAAATTAAATCAAGTGTGCAAAAGAAAAAAAAAAGTGTGGCAATAATGGATAAAATCGTCCTTATTTTTCTTATCAAATTCAATTATCAGGATTGATATTGAACTAAAAAAAATTAATATTAGAATTTTACATTTCATGCAAAATTAGTTTATTGATTTTTACTTTGATGAATTACAAATGTCCCCAAACAGCCACCTCTGCCGGGTCTAAGTAAGTCTCTGATCCTCCCACGGCCTGTATCTGTACATATCGTCCAACTGTTTCAGAAGGGCACCATACAGAAAACTTTTCTCCAACGTGTGCAGGTCCATGGAAATGACCGCATAAGACCATATCATTGAAATTCGCTGTTTTGCCTACTCTGACGTCTACGTCGTGAAGTCGGCCACCTATGTAAAATACGTTGATACAATAAAAATACAAGCCAGAAGGGAAAATGCATCTCGTACATTTTATTTTACAATCAGGTTTTTTTTTTTAATTATTACTTAAGATACAAAAATATGACGAAATGTTATTTGAATTTAAAATGGACTAAAATATATTTCAAAATCAAAATATAAATAAACATTCTGAAAAGATATTTTAATAGGTAGGCCTTACCATTTTTTTTTTTCAACCTTTGAATTGTTAGTATGTTTCATCATTTAAAGTTTTCATACATTAATATCAAGCAATTCAGTTACGTGTATATGGCAAGTTTAAAAAAGCTGATGCATAATCGTAGTAACAACGCTCGGTTTTAATGTAAAAATTATGATACGTATATATAGAAATATTTCCATTTCTAATTTTACTCCGTGATAACCCTTTGAAAGTTAGTGAAGCTAATTTCTTGATAATTCTACCGGAAAATAAATTATGGATGTCAATAGGTCAGGAGCTTAGGAGGCATAATAAGCATGCAAATCTCGTTTGCATCTGTCTCCTAGTCTGACGCTAAGGAGACCAAATATGCATGAAAATCTCGTGCGGCTGCCGTTGTGCTTGACGTCAGCGGGTGAGGACTATTGAAATTGGGATGGCACTCCTCGTGTAATTTAAATCTGTGTCTACATGTTTAAAGTGAAAATCTACAATTTTATTTCACAATGAAATGGAAATATAAGGAATCACTTTCTAGTTAGTATAGTATGCCAGGGACATTGTTCTATTTCTTTTCATTTTTTTTTGGATATAATTAATTATATAATTAAGTTGAGTTTAAAAGTTTGATTTACCGGGTATATATAATTAATTATATCAAAAATGAAAAGAAATAGCACAGTGTCCGGTTATTAATATTAGAATAAAAAAAATTACAAGGAAACAATGTTAGAAAAACGTAATGCTTTATTATTTCTTTCAGCTTCAGTTATATAATCAATTATATATTATACATTTTATACACGTTTGTAGTCCTCAACATGCTCAACGCTTTGTACATTAAATTTCTCGAGAAAGAACTTCTCAAAACTATATTTAAATAACGATTAGAGGGTTAATATATAATTGTTGATTACTTACCACAGCAATTCGGTCTAGTGAAGACCTCAACTTCGGTAACTTCATGGTCCTCTCCAAGATCAATCCTAAGCCATGCCGATTTTTCTTTCTTGGTATGGGAGAAGTCTGTTAGGTCACCATTGACAGCATTCGATGCTGGATATTTTTCAGAATTATATTCGGAACTTTGAACCGCAGACTTTCCATACGCCACATTTTTACAGGCGTGCATGTTGTTATGGTGGTTATCTGCAGCAGTAGCAGCGAAGCAGACGACCAGAAGGAAAACAAGCGTCAGAGAACCCGCCATTATCGACATTGGAAAATCGCATCGATAATGAATTCTTCTCCTGCTCAAAATTTCTTTTTATTGAGAATTTTAAAGCAATAATGCGTCAGCTAAATAATAAAATTACACATGTGACAAAGTCACAGATGTACAGGTAATTTTGGGATATTTTAGTAATGTATTGAAAAGTTTCCCACAAACTTTAATTCTTGTGGCTTAGCAATTACGAATAAATTAAATTCCTAATGATATAAATTCCAATTAATGTGATTTTCAAACACGTTATTGAAAAATATCTCGAAAAAAAAAATTTTAACAGGAAGAATGTGTTTGATAAATAATCACCTTATCTTCATGCAAAGCATAAAAATATTTAAAATCAGTATTTGGATTTTTTTTCACAAGAAGGACCACAAAGTAAAATAGAGTAAAAAATGTTTATTTTTGTGTTAATTTTTAATATGTTAGTTTTATTGATAAATTGTGAAAAATTTGAATTCAATTCTAACACTTTACACATTTGTTATATTATTCAATGCATTCAAATTCATTACTGGAAACACACTACAATATATTCCGTCTAGTTTTCCTATGTTCTCCTAAGGGCTTTGGAAACTAACATCAAGTAATAAAGTAAACAAAAAATGGGATGGCTAAAGTCATATAAAATAATATTGGATCGATCATAAAAGAAGGGTTCATCATAATTATGCTACTTAACCCTGCTATTAATTCCTAAACAGGCTACGTTTGACGTATAACATAATATTCTGATTTTTATCTGAAACATTGCACGAGACAATTATACTAAAAATTGACACGAGTACAATATATTCAAATTTTGTTATATTTATTCAAATATTTACATTTGCAAATGTTTCCGTTTCTATAACACTATTGAAAGCAATACGTATCTATTACTGTATAAATACGGGTTCCTCGAACGTCATAAACGTTCGACGTAATTTATCTGTGAAGTCATAAAGATTCGACGCGTTTTTCGGGCTTCATAGAATTTGATCTCGTGACCAACCAGTATTTATATCCCGATAGATGTTTTTAAATGATGCATTATTTCTTAAATAAATTAATAAACGAAATGGTTTGGTAAATATAGGTGAATAAAAAAATTATTAATAAAGAAGAATAGGTAAAATATCAAAATAGTTTTCATTAAACTCGTTACTTTAAAACGGATTATAAATGTTTAGCTATCATCTAAAAGGTATTGCACAATTAATAGGTTTCCCCATCATCTCTTGATAAAATTTATATACATGTATCAACTGTTTAATGTTTAATGTCTATGAAAGCAGTAAATTGATTTTGCCTGTTCGACCCTCTTGTCTAGCTGTGTGTCTGTTTGCAAATTATCCTTTACAATAACTTTAATTGGTTAATGATTATTTTTCATCTTTGAAATGGGTATTCCTTGTGACGAGACCTTTCACTGGGACACAATGTGTTGACCACTTGAGCTTACATATAAATGTGATTCATTTTTGAATGAAAACATCAATCTTAGCACTAATTTTTGAAGTCACATGTCTTTCTCTGGAAAAAAAAACATATGGAGATAAGGAACAGTATTCAAGATGAAAAGTCCATAAAACAATTTTAAAAAATAGGAGCAGAGCAGGCATGGACCCTCCAAAACATCATAGGTGGGATCAGGTGCCTTGAACGTGTGATCATCCCTTGCCGTGTTATGCTTGGGAAATAACGGGGAAATCTGTCGTCAATTCAGTGTATATAATGGACTTACAATTAGTATGAAAAACGTCAGTCAGACTCAAAAATAATGTGTATTTGCTGACAAGGTCATTGTATCGACCAAAGAATCTATAAAATGATAATTTTAAACTAGACTGCTGATATTCTTGTTTCATAAACTTCTTTGTCAATAAATTACCTCGTTTTATAAATTATTCATATGTAGATCATGCCCTTGCGTATCGAAACAACTGAGGTATAAAAACTCCGTATCCGGATGAAAAAGGTATAATGCTGCATAACAAATGGATGTTGACTATAGTAAAGTTAGTCATCATCACGTTTATCATTGAGCCTGGTTTCGATTACCATTAACGTTTTTTTAAGAAAAATATCCAAGTATGAAACAGATGTAATTTATATCTAAGAAAATACGTCGTCGATGTATTTAAATGGGGATCCGGGTTAGAATAGGTCCTCAGTACCCCTTGCTTGTCGTAAAAGGCGACTAAATGGGGTGGTCCTTCGGATGAGACCGTATAAACCGAGGCCCCGTGTCACAGAAGGTGTATGTGGCAGGATAAAGATCCCTCCCTGCTCAAAGGCCCTGAGTGCCGAGCATAGGCCTAAATTTGCAGCCCTTCACCGGCAATGGTGACGTCTCCATATCAGTGAAATATTCTGGAGAGGGACGTTAAACAGTCATAATCAATCATTGTATCTAAATGTCGCTCGGATTTGATCGAGGCCACAGCAGGTGTTTTATTCTTTTTACGCATAAAATTGTGTATAAATTCTGCTTCATATGTATACAAAAATAGATCTGCTAATAATGGGACGCAATTGGTACCCATGGAAATTCCAATATATTGTTGAAAGACCTGGTTTCCAAAAACCACATAGATTATGTCAATCAGAAACTCGAACATCTTTTTGATGTCAACTCGTGTGTACAATCAGTATACAAGTACTAGTATATTTGAGTATTTGGCCCGAATCATTTTTATTTCTTGACCTTGATGTTTAAAATGTATTCCACAAACTTTCACCTTTGTTATAAGCACCTTCTACCGAGTATTACTTCAACATATTCAATTTATACTTTTGCTTTTTGTAACTTACTATTTGTAATAAATCAGTCCCAAATGTAAATATAAGTAATAATAAGTATGATGATACCTTACTTCTTTAATACAAATTACATAATGCCGTCATTCTCGTGACGTTATATAGGTGTTATTATGACATTAAACAAAATATGATTGTGACGTTATAATAATCAAAATTGAATAAGGCGCAGAGATAAATTCAAGATTTACAGTTCACCTGGCAAAATTTTATCGCCTATTATTTACATACTGTAATGGAGACAGCCTATGTAAATTGTACATAGTAAAATATTTTGTTATAAACTTATTTTAACAGTTACGTTTTGAAAAAGTATTCTTTTCCTTATTTTACTTTGTAGAAAGAAAATAAATGAAAAATCCCTTTGCTGCAGGATTCGAATTGTTAACTACATGGTGTGTTTCTTATGATCGGATCCTTTATCTGTTGCTTATGTTCGGTTCCTGTTTGCCTATTATAATTGTAATTAGCGTCTCCTTGTTTAACAGTTTATAAGTAACTTGTTGGTTGTTATTCAACCACATAAAGGTCAAAGCAACATATTAGAATTATAACAACAAATGCGTCTATTAGAACAAAATGTGGACTTTTATGTGGACAATTTTATGTCAATGAAATTAGGAAAGAATTTTTTTCTTGGGTAATATTACTTATGCTGTTCAGTTAACTTAGTCTATAAGCTGTTTGAAGAAATATATTTGTGATTTTTTTATATTCTCTATATAAGAAGTCCTAAAAATGTCCGAAAGTTTGTAGTCGCAGTATATAACAATTCCAACTGTTTCGCAGGCTGGACTTATTTTAGTTCCAAGTAATTAAACATACCATGAGCCTTTCTAACTGATTGATATGCGGGTGCGAGTTTATCACTTTGTTTAAACAGTTTGAACAGTTTATGACAAAAGTTTACCAACATAAGTTCTATATTAGAGGGAAAAAAACATTTTACAGAATTTGAGATAAACCCTTTCTATATTTCAGCATATCCATAATTCCACAAAGTCACAGGCATAAAATGACATCTGCGAATAATTAAAGTACCCGTTTTCGCCTGTGGCTGTCTGCTTGTTTACTTTGTTACTTTAATAACGGTGACCTAATTACCTAGCACACAGCTGTAATCGTATATCTTGGTTCCTTTTTAATAGAAATGATAATTTGTTTTTATCGAACACATTTTATAACAGTCCATTAAAAAATAATATACGTCTATCGATCCTAACAAGTTGTTTTTTTTTCTTTAAGGATCTCCTCTTTCGTTTTTCTAATCATTACAAAATTGCATTACAGATTGTCCCCTCCCTTGAAAAGAGCTGTAAACTAACCATTTGTATTAATTGGTGTATCTTAAATAATTAATTAATTGGAAAGAAAACAGATAAATAAATTTACAGCAAGAAATTGATTTCGTTTGACTTGATTTTTGTTACAGGCATAAAAAAATTGATGAAGTCATTAACTAGTCCCAATAAAATTAACACACTTATACATTACAATCTTATTATACCGAGTGCTTGGGTAGTCAATCGTAGTATCGTCATAAAATATGAAAAAATAAAAAAACGAACTCGTTAGAATTTATTTAATGTGGAAAACAGAAAAAAGTTTGATTATGAAAAGTTAATAAGAATATTGGAAAACGGTTAATTTTTTGGTTATTTTTGACAGTTTGCTGAGCATTAGAAATGGGAAAATGGTAAACTCAACACACGAAAAATGTTGACGTTTGATGACGTTGCCGCGCACCAGAGAGCAGTTCAGTTTGATTTAAATGGTGTAATAACACCTCTAGAATTAGAATTAATACAGAAGAAGAATAAATAAACAAATCAACTGATCTTTAGTATATAGAATTGAAATGGGAGTTTTCTCAGTGAAGTCTTTCTTGATCGAGACCTCAGTTAGTGCAAAACATACGGTCAATCTGCTATAATTGTAATATCAAAAGACGCTGTCACTGTTAACCGTCAATATAAGATTTTCTATTAGATGAATGATGGTGGGAATACTGTCTGTAACTCACTAATAAATCATTAGAAGATTGCTCGTTTGTGCCAGATTGGTTTCCTCAACTGTTTGTGGAGACCAAAGTAGGTGCATCAATGAAATTCTTAAATTTAAGTTGGACTTATCCAACTGTTTTTTTATCGCAAAGATGAAACGTAACGCTGTTTAAGTCA